TATCGACTAAGCCGTTCGTAGGTTACACGACATATCCCATCGACAAGCGACTGACTCGCCGTTTCGCTCGTGTCAATAATAACGTGGTAATGCTTAAAAACGGATCATGCAATAATCTAAAATTAGAATGGAAAAATCGGCGTATGTCAAGTTTACTGCGTATAGAACTGTACCAAACTTTAATATGTCAACATTTGCTAAAAATTTTACTATGAATTAAATCTCAATTTTGGTTAGATCGTCTCTAAACCCCGATTTGATGTGAAAGAACCCATATATTTTATTTGATAGTGATAGATCAAAAAAGAAACTTTAAACAATAACCATTGGCGCAGTAAATGGCCGGCAAATTACTATACTATTTTCAGCCCTGACCAGAGCCCAACACTGGCATCAAACCATAAGACTATCTTAAAACCCATAAGATTATCGTTTAACTTATTAGTCTGGACTTACTGAGACATACTATTTTACATTGTTATTAGAAATATTAAAAAATAAACTTTCCCCGTAGTCTTTCAGACAATTGTATTGTCTAATAACCTGTCTCACTACTAATAAATTTTGGGGTACTGGCTTTTCTACTACATAGTATTGTATATTGGTCCATATACAAAAAAAATTTCGGTATTCTATCTGCCGTAAATAATTCATATTTTTAACTAAACTTAGAATCATATAGTTTAGTCCAAAATAGTCTAACCATATAAAATAAATAATATCCTTTTTTTTTTACAACCACTTCATAGAGGACGCCCTATGGCATGTTATTATAACATTAAAACAACATTATCCAATTAGACTATTAAATATAACAATTAATTTTAAAGAATATACTTTTTATTTTAAAGGTCCGAAAATTTTAGATAATACAAAGTTGATTTTTCGTTTTGCAAAATCGGTCGATCGGTCGGATTTTTTTTTTTTTCCCTCTGCAGTAAATTTAAAGACTCATATTCACATCCAAGTCCACAAAGTTGTTTTTGCTTTGTATAAATGGATTCAGAAAATTGAATCGAGAGTCGAATATTTTATTTATTTTTTTTTATCAGTTCTATTGGGCAATTTCGGGGAAATAAGGTCTCTATCGGACGATGCCGGATTAATTTGTGAAAAAAAATCAAATGGAAAATGGGTTGGTACACAGCAAACCATGCTCTGAGCATATGTAAAATATATGCTCAGAGCATGGTTTTGCTGTGTACCAACCCAAATATAATAATTAGCACAATTGGGACTTACAGTTATTGAAAAATTGGTCGGTAGGTAATGCAAACCAAAAAAATCAACTTAGCGTAGCCTTATCATCAAAATGACGGTCATACTGAGAAGATTTCCAAATCATCAGAAAAATCTCACCACAAGATTTTAGAATTGTTAAATGCTTGTTACTCTAATTATTAAAATTTTGAGTGAACTAATCTTTGACTATTACATAGTTCTGTTTAATTTAGGCTTATTGGATCGTCTCGGTAAGATGGTCATTTTAGTTTATGATAAACCAGTAAATTAAAACTATATATGCTTAAAAATATTAACTAAACTAGGCAATACATATAACAACTAGGCATAAAAATCCAGTCCGGTAAAAGACTGGAATAGGTCAATGAAAGCCCTATAGCAGTTATCATGTTAACGTTCGATCTTTCGGTCCACATAACATCTGCCTTCTATCATCGCCTCCTGCATCAGCCTCCTTACATTCATGCAGTACTCCTTGCAACTTTGTAACAACGTATTGTGGGATTCCAAATTTCTCGGAATGTATTATAGTCGTTCCGGAGTTCGGAGTTTATTTGCATCATGATCAATTTATCGGATAAATTATCATGAATGCGCATGATCAACTCCGACACACCAGTTTTTTCACATAATATCATTTGATAGTGGACTTGTGGAATTTGGCCTTTATCAAAATATCAAAATTATATTTATAAATATTCTAATTCTAATTCACAGCGACAGATATATTACTATCAAATGTCAATACAAATATTGTAACTCCCTTTAAAAATATTTAATAGTTTTTGTCTAGACAGTTTTAATTGGTTATCATATTATTATCAATACTGTATTAGCATAATTAATACATATAAGTGTAAAATAAAAATTGTGCAGGGGTGGTTTTGGTCTGTGAAATACGGTATTTAGATTACCGAATTGTATCTAACTAAAAAATTTGAATTATCCGGTCGTTCAGAACTATATCTCCGATACGTATTATATTATTTTTTGACTTATAATACTAAATTTATCATAATTACTTCGGAGGTAACGGACTTATGATAGATCTCTTTTGATCACCTAAATAGAATACAATAGAGTTTGATTTATGTCATAAAAGGTGATAAATTGAACAAAAACAAGACAACCTTTTTATCCGATGTCATTGTGACTAAATTTTATCATTACAACGATCAATAAAGAACCAATGCAGTTACTTTCCGCAATTATGATATATTAATCAGGAAGCTCTAAACAATTACGCTTTTAATGCACCCCCTGATATAAATTTAACAATCACATAATATAAATAAAAGATAAGTTGGTGTTAACGACTGTTGAACTTTCACCTGAAAGTTCATTTTACATAACGATAAAATAAACTCTCAACATTTTTACTGTATTTAAAAATGATTATTACACCTGAATATATAAAAAACCTTGATCAAACTCAACCTCATCAATCTTGTCAACTTTGTTTAAAATTTCTTCAATATTTTCTCGATCATCACGTTCCATCTCAAGCCAAGAATGAAAAAAATCATTTCGAATGTGCAGAATGCAACAACAAAGTATTTGGTGATGCATTTGCAATACATCAACATAAACGCGATAAACACGGAATAAGTGTTTGCAAAGTATGTGCAAAAGAAGTCAAAAATCTCAAAGGGTTTTTATGTGAAGAACACGATGCCGATAAAGAGAAGAAAGGAGAAGGTAATAAAATGAGACTTTCGTTTCATTGCGAGCCTTGCAATAGAGTCTTCCTAAGGCTTGAAGATATTAAAAAACACGATCTAGCAAAACATACCAAAACAAAGAAAAAAACAAGTAAAAAAGCATCTGTTTGAACTTGGTTTATTTGCATTATTTTTTGCATTAAAGTTTTGAAATTTCTTAAATCATTATTTTTCAAATTATATATTTTATCAATAAATTGAAACCTTTGTATAATATAATGTAGCATCCAGTACTTGTTTAGAGGATTGGGCATCTTTAAATTTACTATCGTTATATCGAAACGAACTTCGCTAAGCCATGAGAAATTGTTGATTCTTAACGTACTATAGTGTTTCGTTTGGTAAATCATGATAATAATTTTACGCCAGTTATTCGAGTCAATCATTTGAGTTTTAGATTAAAATGTTGTACGTCTCACTGTTATATTTAGAACCTTAAAAGAGTATCGTAATAATTTATAAGATATTTCATCAAAAAGTGGTTTCGCAAAAATTAGTCGTTGCTACAAAATTACTATTTAATGCAACTATGAAAATTAATTTCGTCATTAAGAAAAACTGAATAATTGTTGAAGTCATAATTGATAATTACTAAGAGGAGTACAGGTAACTATCGATATAACGGGAAACTTTTACACCGGATCAACTGATTTAACGACCAAGTTCAAAATTTTAATTAATAGGAAATTTAAAACGGCTATACCGGATTAAATTATAAAAAGGCCATATTATTTATGATAGACATAATTACGTATTTTACTAAAAAAAAAAAGTTGGTTATCTATTACCAAAGAATATAAAATATGCTATCCCAAGAAACTCTGCAAAACTTTCGACCAGATCTTATCAAGTCTTTCATGAAGAATAAGAAAAACCTGTGTTTGTACGGATTATCAAAAGTTTTCTATTTTTAAAACAGAAAGCGTAATGTAACTAGAGTATAAGTATTGAATTCTTCTAAAGCAGAAACATAAAAGTCTTATTTAGATATAGTAACATTGAATACTAAAATTTTATTATGTTAATGATACGGCGTAACTTCAACTTTTAACAAAAATAAGAATTTTGTGCATATAAATCATTATGGCTTATACATTTATCTGAAGGTTTAGCGACAAGAATTATAAAAGTATGATGGGTCGTTTGATATTTCGCATTAAGCCTATAAAGAGGCATATGTTGAATTCTTGAATATTAATAAATCGGATTATTTGTTGAACCAAATTAATCTATAGCAATAGTTTTATGACTTCTGTCGTACTTATAATAATTCATAGAATTGTCATTTCGCGTTCATATTTTTTGGTAAATTATTGATGTTTTTACTGCGTCATGTAATTTTATATCTTTTTATTTGTTGCTTGATGAGACACAAGTGTAATCGTAAAACGATTATGCCACAGATGTTATTTTCTCTAATCCTATTTTTTTTTTATGCAAAAAAATTAATTCTTAGTATAGAATTCACACTGCCGAATATTTACGTAATAGATAAACGAAATGCATCAAGAATCTCATCATTATGCTATGAAAAGCCTTTTTACCATACTTAAGAAATTTTAAAGTCACATACATTTCATTGTTAGAGTACGGGCCCTCATTAATATTTAGATGTTTCTATCTTAATATCTGATGGATAATCCAAACATTATTTCTTTTCACCAGCAGGATAATTGACTTAAATCATATGGAAAAATTCTAATTTCCAACTATTTTTTGTACTGTGTATTATTTATCAATTCTTTTAACACGGATATTTAGAAGTCTTCATTTAGTTATTCGGATTTGACTTTATTATCTAAACTTTGTTATATTAATAGTTTTATATTAGCTAATTTGTAATTAATAAAACTATAAAATTTTAATAGAATTTCAACAATCCAAAGTCAATTGCTGCAAATAAATTATATAATTTTGGGC